TAAATTTTCACAATTTCTAAGAAAACCCCACTATCTTCCCAAACTACCCTTAAATACAACCCAAGCTGAAAAAAGAAGAAATAAAAAAGTTTTTCTATTTAAACCCCACACTTTTCTTTGTTCACCCCAATACTTAAATCATTAAACAATATTTGTAGTATACATGAGATTTTGTTGTTTTCACAAACTGTTTTTATCATGTGATTAGATCATATGGGAAATTGTAGTTTGTTTGGTTTCGCTTTATGATGATAGTGAAAACCAATGACCACAACATTAGCAATAAGACTATGTATCTGTAGGAACATGGTTCCTGTGCCCTTCATCATACTTTACTTGAAGAGATTTGCATCTTTCCTTGCTGGAAAGAATAAGGCCGCAACTCGGTTCCTTAACGTACTGTTTGTGAGAGCCAAAGAGTAAGCTGGCCCTGTAGAGGAGTTCTAATGGCTTGGTCTGATGTTGTTTGTGGTTGTGCCTTTCCCTGGAACAGAAGCATGGACAGGAGCCATCATAGCTTCCATTCTTCATATGCCATTCTGGGCAGCAGTGTCTGCAAATTTCTTTGGTGTTGTATTGGCTGGGCTTCTAGTAAATTTGCTGGTGAACCTTGGTCTCAAATATGCAATTATCACTGGTATTATCCTCTTCATTATATCCACATTCATGTGGAGCATCCTTCGGAACCTTAGGAAGTCTTTAAGCTCATCAAGTTGATATGACATTGGAAATTCTTAAAGTAATCCAATCCCTCACAAGGGGTAACTGATGATCCTTGAATTTTGAGATTGTATGATCCTTGAAGAGTGGTATGAAGTGTGATGTGTGTGTATAGATAGATGTATTAAGGTTAAATATTAAGTTGAATGACTTTTTTTGTCTTTTTACACAATAATAAAACTGATAGCTTAATAATTTAAGTATTAGGGTGAACAAAGAGAAGTGCGGGGTTTAAATAGAAAATCTCTATTTTTTTTCTGTTTTAAAAAATTTAATTGAATAATATTTTTAAATGCAATTTGGTTATGAAGTGGGTCCTACGACTGCCACGTCAGCATTTAATGTCTGACTTTAACGGTCAATGTAACGGCAGATGTAAATTGGTAATACTTTGAAATGTCTGGTATGAAATTGATTTAATGGAAACATTAGGGCCCATGTCGATACTGACACTAAACCTGTTGGCTGCGCAAATCTCACGGCCTGGTGCTCCGGGCCGAGGGGATGTGCGTTAACACGTGACGTCCTTCTTTTAGATGTGGGGGGGTTGG